TTTCATTATCCATTCATTAGTTGAGAGGCATTTAGGTCGTCTTCATTTCTTAGCTGTTGTGAAGGAAGCAGCAACAGACATGAATGTACAGGTATCTCTACAGTAAGATGGGTCCTTTGGGTGTATGCCAAGGAGTGGTATGAGCAGATCATATGGTAGATTCATTTTTAGTTTTGAGAGTTCTCCTCACTGCTTTCCACAGTGGTTTCCCGAGTTTGCATTCCCAACAGCAGTGAATGAGAGTTCCCCTTTCTCCACAACAGCATTTGGTATTTTTCATTCTCTTGATCTTAGCCAATCTGCCTGGGGTAATATGGAATCTTAAAGTGGTTTTTATCCACGTTTCTTTAACTACTAAGGATGCTGAGCACTTTTTACGGTGTTTCTTAGCTATTTCTATTTCTTCATTAACTCTCTGTTAAGGCCTATAGCCATCTTTCAATTGAGTCATTTACTTTCTTGTTTCTTTGTATATTTATTTTTGTATATTCTGAATATTAATCCTTTGTTGGATGTGTAGCTGGTAAAGATTTTCTCTCACTCAGGGGATTGCTTCTTCACTTCCTTGTTTTTTCCTTTGCTGTGCAGAGCTTTGTAGCTTAATAAGTTCCTAGATACTGATTGTTAACCTTAATGCCTGAACAGCTGATGTTCAAATTAGAAAGTCCTTTCCTACACCTACATCTTGGAGAGCATTACCTATGTTTTCTTCTAACAGTTTCAGAGCTTCAGGTTTTATATTGAGGTCTTTGATCCATTTGGAGCTGACTTTTGTGCAGGGTAAAAGGGTCCAATTACATTCCTCTACAGGTAGAGATCCAGTTTTGTCAGCATCATTTGTTGAAGGTGCTGTTTTTCCTCCACTGTCTGTTCTTGTCACCTTTGTCAAATATCAGGTGGCTGAAAATTCATGTACTAATCTGTGGGCGTTCTACTGTGATCCAGTGACCTACATATTTAGTTTTGTGTCAGTATCATGCTGTTTTCATTACTATAGCTCTGTAATACAGTCTGAGATTTGGTATGGTAATCCCCCAGCATTGTTCTTTTTGCCCAAGATCACTTTGGCTATCTGGGGCCTTTTGTGATTCCATAGAAATTTTAGGATGATTTTTTTCCCTAGCTCTGTGAAGAAAGTTGTGGTATTTTGAGTGGCATTGCATTGAATCTATAGATTGCTTTTGGTAAGGGGGACATTTTCACAATATTAATTCTACTAATCCATAATCATAGTAAGTCTTTCCATCTCCTCTATTTCTTCAAATATTTAAAAATTTCATTGTAGAGGCAGATCTTTAATGTCTTTGGTTAGGTTTATTCCTAAATATTTTTTGAGGTCATTGTGAATGGGAAGGTTTCCTTGATTGCTTTTTCTCATTGTTTGTTATTGGTATATAGAAAGTTTACTGATTTTTGTAAGTGATTTTATACTCATTTCTAGCAGTTTCCTGGTGGAATTTTTGGGATCTCTTGTGTATAATATCATCTTCAAATAGTAATAATTTTACCTCTTCTTTTCCAATTAGTACTCCTGTAATTTCCTTCTCTTGTCGTATTGCTCCAAGCACTATATTGAAAAGGAGTGGAGATAGTGGACAGTCCTGTTTGGGTCCTGATTTTAATGGGAATGCTTTGAGTTTTTCTTCATTTAGAATGTTGGCTAAGGGTTTGTTGTAGATAGCTTTAAATATGTTGAGGTATATTCCCTCCAGACCATGTAATTCAGATGTCTCTCTGCTTATTCTTCATCCGAGTGATGTATCTATTGAAGATAGTGGGGTATTGAAGTCACCTATTGCTGAGTTGGGGTTAATCTGTGTTTTATAGACCTGGAGCACTGTTTTTCATGAAATTGAATGTTCCAGGGTTTGTTGCATATATGTTCATGATTGTAATATCTTCTTGATCAATTTTTCTTTTGATTAGAATGAAGTAACCCTCTTTATATCTTCTGATTAGTTTTATTTTGAAATCTATTTAGTCACATTAGAATTGCAACACCTACTTGCTTCTTAGTGTGTTTGCTTGGAATATATTTTTCCATCCTTTCACCCTAAGGTCATACCCACCTTTGAAGGTGAGATGAGTTTCTTGGAGACAACAAAATGATGGGTTTTCTTTCTTGATCCTTTCTGTTAGCCTGTGTCTTTTGACAGGGGAGTTGAGGCCACTGATATTTAGTGTTGTTATTGAAAGATGTGCATTGGGTCCTGTCATTTTAACTTCATGGAGTTTGTGGCACTTTTTTGTACTTCCGTTATTATACATCGCTTTGTTTTCTTTCTGTCTCTTTCTTTCTCTTGGTATCCTCATTCCTATCTTCAGTCCTCTGTTCTGCTTTCAGTATTTGCCTTAGGACTTTCAGTCCATTTGTTTCATGGAAAATTTTCTGTTTCTCTTCAACTGAAATAGATAGTTTTGCTGGACAAAGTATTCAAGGTTGGCATCCATTGGTCGTGTAGAACAGGCAATACTTTGGTCCAGGCTCCTCTTCTGGATTTCATAGTTTGCATTGAAAAGCCACTTGTAATTCGGATGGGTTTTCCTTTCTATGTAACTTGCTGTTTTTCCCTAGCAGCTTTCAGTACCTTCTCTTTCTTCTGTACATTTAATGTCTTTACTATGATATACCGTGGGGAGTTTCTGTTCTGGTTGTGTCTAATTGGTGTTCTATATGCTTCTTGGATCTGTATAGGTAAGTCTGTCCTTAACTAAGGGATGTTTTCTTCTATAATCCTGTTGAAGATCTGTTCAATGCCATTGGCCTGAGATTCTTCTCCTTCCTGTATGTGTCTGATATATAGTTTCTCATGTTGTCCCACATTTACTGCACATTCCATTCCCATGATTTTTCAGATTTTACATAGTCTTTGCTTAAGGAGTCTTGATCTTCACCTTTGTTATCCAGTCTTGATATTTTGTTTTTTCTTTCTTTCATTCTGCAGGTGAGACTTTCTCTTGTTTTTTCTTATTGGCTTTTTGAAATGTTCATTTCCATGTTCATTTCAGTTTGGCTTTTATTCACTATTTCTATGTCTTTTGTGAATTCATTTTTCAAGTCCTGAATTTTTTTGATATTTTTGTTAAGTTCTGTATTTGCATATTCTTGAGCTTCCATCACAAATTTATGACTATCCTCTTTGAGGTCTTTGAGTTGTTCGGTTTTCATCAAGTTATTTGATCACGTTTATGATTTTTTTTTAATTCTGTACCTAGAGTTCCACAGGGTGGTTCTCACTGTAGTGCCCTTCTATAGAACTAGTGGATTTTGTTGGGGACACATTTTCTTGGTTTTCATATTATTTGTGCTTTTCTGCTGCCGTTTGGACACAAGAATGTTCTTTGTTGTTGTGTGTCCTGTAAGAACTTCTATTCCATGTTTATTTAATTGAATTTTGGTTCTATTTATTGTTTATATAGCTTGTTTGGGTTTTGCTCAAGCATGAAAAATAAATTGGTGTGTGTTTCAGGTTGTTGCAGGGGAGTAGACTGTTCTGGGTAGTTGGTGGGATGAGGTAGTAAGTAGGTTGGTCAGGGTAGTAGGAAGACTAGGATGTGTGAGACAGATCAGGAGCCAGTGGAGTCTGTTAGAGGGTTTAGCTATTCTGGGTTGGGAAACTATTCCAGTGATCCAAGGCAGAGGAATTGTGGGTCTGGGTCCAAGGCTAGAAAGGGGCCTGTTGCAGGTGGAGTAAGTTGGAAGTGTAAAGACTGCAGAAGAATGGAATAGAGACATGGTGGGCAGGATCTGAGTTACCAGAGACCTAGGCGGGCTGGTCTGTCTGGCAGGTCATGAGCTAAAGGAGGATGGGAGTGGGCAACAGTTGAGAAGGGATGTACCAATCTATGCAAGGGTGTTCAGCTGATCTGTGTTAGGAAGCTAATCCAGGGATCAGATGCAGAGGAACTGGACTGGCCTGGGTCCAAGGCTAGTGGGGAACATGGTGTATTTAGCTTTTAGAGTTCCTGAAATTCTAGACACTAACTCCCTGTCAGATGTATAGATGGTAAAGATTTTTTTTCCCATTCTGTTGGCTATCTCTTCACTAGAATGTTATTTTAAATTTCATAAGGTCCCATTTGGTAATTGTTCATCTTAATGTCTGTACTTCTGGGTCCTGTTCAGAAAGTCATTTCCTATGCCTACAAAATGAAATAGATCCCCAAATTCTCCTCTAATGGATTCAGAATATTGGGTTTTATGTTGAGATCTTTTATCCTTTTGGAGTTGAAATTTGTGCAGGATGAGAGATAGGGATCAAGTTTCATTCATCTACATGTTGAACAGCAACATTTGTTGAAGATGCTATGTTTTCCTCAATATGTATTTTTGGCCCATTTGTCAAAAATCAGGTGACTATAGGAGTGTGAGCTTTTATAGGGGGGACTCTGGTTCTATTCCATTGATCAATGTGTCTGCTTTTACGCCAGTGTGTTTCCATGAGCTTATGTCACCATGAGTACTATGTGAAAGCAGAGTGATGGCAGGCAGGGACAGAAAACAGGAAGCAAGCCAAAGAGGAGAAGGAAGCAGCCTTTTCAGAACTGGCCTAGAGGACCATTTCAGGAACGTCAGCCTGTTGCTCCTAGACCTTGAGATGTGCTCTAGGCTTGTATGAAACCTTTGGTGGTTTTGGCTAGCTCCAGTTAATTTCTGTTACTTCCTTTGAACACAGGGCACAACCTGCTTCCCAAGCTTTGTCCAGTAGGGCTTTCGGCACTAAGGGAAATGCACATTTCAGCACTGTGGACTGACTGCTGGCACAGAGGTATATACACAGCTGAGTCTCCTGCTTCAGAGGTCTTGATTTCCAGGCTGCATGGTGAGTTTGAGGGAAATTCTGCTGAGAATCACTCCTTGAACCCATCTATTTGGTCAATAATTTCTTGACTAGGAAAGTAAACCAAAAATTTGATTTCCTTGTCCTGGTTCTGCTGATACCAGTAAATAGCAGTGTGCCCCCTTTCTGGACCACAGCTCATCTTTGCTTTCTGTCTTAGAGTCTGGGTAACTTTGGCATCGAAAGAGCCTGGAAGAGAAGGACACAGAAGATGGGAACACAGCCCAGCAGAGGCCCTGACAAGGATAAAGGATTAGTTCTGGAATTAACAAACTCAGGACAAGGAGTTTTCTTTTGAACTCTGGTCTCACCTGCCCCCAAGAGACAAAGCACTGAACAGCAGAGAAGTCTTGTGCCCATGGTCACAATGAAGCAGCAAAGGATGAGACGTTTTCATGCTTCATCAGTAACCTTCCTGTGATGTCATCTCTTGCAGACTCAATCACTATGCTACTACCTCAAGTTACCACCAACACCACATGGTGTCTCTCAGGAGAGCTTTGCCTCACCAACTTAGTGCCTTCCTTGGGCACCAGGGGCACCGCTTCTGGACCTGGCCCCGCCCTCATCTCTCTCTGCTTCCCTGAACCTGCATCACCGGCTAACTCTCCTAGCCTGCTCTCCTATCCTCAGGCCTCTTGGGGTAAGTCTATAGCACAGCCCTCCCTGCCTTGACTCCCCCAGCCACATTCACCCTTCCATCTCCCCCGCTGTTCTCTACTCCTAGTTTGAGCCCTGTGCCATTCCTAGTCTTGGGGCCCCAGACACCTGGGGAGCCAATATTGCTTCCTGATCCTTTTCACCCAGACCAACTTGGTGCCTTCCTTGGGCCTCAGGGGCACTGCTTCTGGACCTGGACCTGCTCTCATCTCTCTCTGCTTCCCTGGACCTGCACCACCAGCTAACTCTCCTGCCCTGCTCTCCTGCCCTCAGTCCTCTCTTGGGGTAAGTCTATCACACAGCCCTCTGCGCCTTGACTCTCCCAGCCGCTTTCATCCTTCCATCTCTCCTGCTGTTCTCTACTCCTAGCTTGGGCCCTGTGCCATTCCTAGTCTATGGGCCCGAGACACCTGGGGAGCCAGTGCTGCTTCCTGATCCTTTTCACCCCGACCAGCTTGATGCCTTCCTTGGGCCCCAGGAGCACTGCCTCTGGACCTGGACCTGTTCTCATCTCTCTGCTTCCCTGGACCTGCACCACCGGCTAACTCTCCTGGCCTGCTCTCCTATGCTCAGGCCTCTTGGGGTGGGTCTATCGTGGAGCCCTCCATGCCTTGACTCCCCCAGCCTCATTCACCCTTCCATCTCCCCCGTGGTTCTCTGCTCCTGGTTTGGGCCCTGCATCATTCCTGGTCTTGGGTCCCCAGACACCTGGGGAACCAGAGCTGCTTCCTGATCCTTTTCGCCCAGGCCAGCTTGGTGCCTTCCTTAATGAGAACCCCCTAGAGACAATGCAGGACATGGAACTCAAAAGAACAATGATGAATATGATAAAAGAATTCAGTGAATTGAAAGAACACACAAACAAGGTAATCATAGAGCTGAAGGAAGATAGGGATAAACTTCTGAATGAATTCAGTGTGATCATGGGCACAAGGCTGCTCTGCTGGGTGGAGCTCTGTCTCCTGGGAGCAGGTGAGACCTAGGCTCAAAGGCAAATCTCCATCTTGAGATGGCCAGAACCAGACCCAAACACTTTTCCTGGTCAGAGTCCCTCCTAGCTGTGTTCATGTCTTCTGTTTCCTTCTCTTCCAGGACCTTTTGATGCCAAAGTCACCCAGACTCCAAGACATCTGATCAAAAGGAAAGGGCAGAAAGCAAAGATGAGCTGTGGTCTTGAAAAAGGACATGATGCTGTTTACTGGTATCAACAGAACCAGAACAAAGAGTTAAAGTTTTTGATTTGTTTTCTGAATCAAGAGCTTCTACAGCTCTGGAAGGTGAACAGCATGTATTTAGTTTTTGAGTTCCTGTAATTCTAGACACTAACATTCTATAAAGATTTTTTTTCCTATTCTGCTGTCTGTCTCTTCACTAGAATGTTAGTGTTCTTTGTAGTACAGAAGCTTTTGTGATTCAAAGGTCCCATTTGCCAATTGTTGGTCTTAATGTCTATACTGCTGAGTCCTATTCAGAAAGTCCTTTCCTGTGCCCATAAGATGAAACATCTGCTCTACTTCTCCATAATGGATTCAGGATATTGGGTTTTATGTTAAATTCTTGATTCTTGTGGAGTTGAGTTTTGTGCAAGATGAGATACAGAGGTCTAATTTCATTCTTTTTTATAATTTTTTTTTATTTTTCAGAAGAAGCATTTCATTACAGCTTTAAGATACTCAATAACAATTTCCAGAGCAAAGATACATCTCTTTCAAAATTTTTAGGTTCACAGTTGAATTAATACAGTTATAGAGTATTGAACTCAGTATAAACCCTGTAAAACATAAAATTGAATGAGTTTTCAACCTTTAAAAAAAGATCTCCATTTCGTTTTAAAAATACTGTTTCTTACAGAAAGACTCATTGTTTTTACTAATAACACATATTGGCACATGCGTCTCTAATCTGTATGTATCTGATTATTACTAGACACGGTCGGTTGTACTTGGATCCTTGGCACCTGTTTATGGATATAAAGACATCAGGTAGATTTCAGTGGTAATGCTTATCATCTCTACTACTTAACATAACCTGAATTTTTATGCTTCCTCCTCAAATATAACTCATTTTTTAAATTTGTTGATTTGTGTGTTTGTGTATATATCACACAGAATATCCCAAACAATCTTATTCATCTATATACCCACTTCCCAGATGGCACTCTCCCACAGCCTCCCCCTGACTAGAGAGCCCTTTTACTTTGTCTTCGCTGCTACTGTCTGCTGCAATGTCGGCACCCCCAGCCATTCCCCACTACTTATTCATCTGGTGAATCTAGTCAGCCTAACTAGAGGTCTTTGTTTTAGGAAGATCAGCTGTTCCTCATCTAGCAGCAATCAGTCGTCAATATTCCTTTAGACAAGATTGGGATCTGCTGTTCATTTTCCCAGTTTTATGCTGGGTTACTATCTGGGAGTCTCTTGGGCCACCCTGCTCAACAACTCAGAAGAACGTATATCCTATCTGGCATTGTTTATTGTTATATACCATTTAGTTAAACATATGGACTCAAAAATTATATTGAACCCTTAAATCTTTGGTTATACTTTCCTTTTGGGTGTTTAAGGTCATACAGTTGGCTCAGAAAAACCAATTTATTTTTACTCTTAAGGCCATTTGAGGATCTGTTCCTCAGGGGTCACATGGGTTTGGGAGGAGCCCCTGGCTCCTTTCTTTTACCAGTTCCATCTATGTGAAGGTAAGTCAAAGGTCCTGCCCAATCATGGCTGGCTTTGCTTGGAAGCGTGGAGGAAATGTTTGACCCTCCTCTTTGTAGACTGGATGCTGGTTCAAGTCCATCTTGTGGGGTCTCCACAGCCTCCTTGATCAAGAGGGTAGGTGACTCACCACAGTTACAGGACATTTTGAGAGATGCTTATAGCCCCCTGGAACTAGTTGACCTAGGAGGACAACGAGCAAAAACTGTCCTTTATGTCCCTCTGACCAAATTAGTATAGACCTCAAAGTATGCCTGTTAAACATCCAAGAAGGTTAGTTCCACCAGTCTGATGTTTTAAATTACCATGTGCCATGTAGATAAACCTTTGGCAAAGACCAGTTGTTCTCAGATAAACCTTACCTAGACATATATTTCTTGATCTCATATGTATAATTTGTCAATAAGTTGTTGGACTAATATGGTTCCCTCTGGTTTTTAAAACTAGCTAGGCATTATTTATCTCTTGCATTGTCTAACCCCTCCATCATGGCTTCCCAAATTAAGATACCCCCATTTTTCCCATTTCTCCCTTAGTAATTCCCTTCTCCTATGGTCCTACCTCTCTTGAGCTCCTTCTTTCCCTTTATCCTCTAGGTTCCTTGTATACCCTTCCCTCCCTCCTCCATTAAACTATTCCAATTTTTATCTATATGTCCTTTATTAATGCCTGTTTCCTACTGTTCTTCTCTTTCAGATTCTTTTCCTTTACCTCCCTGGTTCCTTTCCATTATCTTTTAGTTATGTCTGGATACATACTCACTTACCAGGATTTGGTGCTAGGATCCACATATGAGGGAGAACATATGCTGTTTTTTTTTTTCTTCTTAGTCTGTGTTACCTCACTTAGATAATAGTTTCCATCCATTTACCTGAAAATTTCAGGATTTCATCTTTCTTTACTGTTGAGTAAAATATCATCATATAAATGAACCACATTTTCATTATCCACTCGTCAGTTGAGGGATGCTTAGGTTGTTTCCATCTCTTAGCTAATGTGAAAAGAGCAGCAATAAACATGGATGTACAAGTGTCTCTGCAATAGGATGAGTTCATTGGGTATATGCCAAGAAGAGGTATAACTGGGTCAAATGGTAGGTCCATTTGTAGTTTTTTAAGAGTTCTCCACACTGCTTTCCATAGGGGTTGAACAAGTGTGCAGCCCCACCAGCAGTGGATGAGTGTTCCCCTTTCCCCACATCCCCTCCAACATTTGGTATCATTTGTTCTCTTGATCTTAGCCAGTCTGACTGGGGTAAGATGAAATCTTAAAGTGGTTTTAATTTGCATTTCCCTAATTATTAGTGATGTTGAACATCTTTTAAGATGTTTCATAGCCATCTTTATTTCTTCTTTTGAGAAATATCTGCTCAGCTCCTTAACCCATCTTGGTACTTTGTTTTTTGAGTTCTTTATATATTCTAGATGTTAAACTTCTGTCAGATGTGGCTGGTGAAGATTTTCTCTCATTCTGTAGGATTTCTCTTTACTTCCTGGGTTGCCTCCTTTGATGTACAACAGCTTTTTAGTTTAATAGGGTCCCATTTGTTGATTCTTGACCTTGTTTCCTGAGCAATTGATGTTTAGTTTAGAAATGCCTTTCCTACACCTATGTCTTGTAGGTTTTTGCCAATGTTTTCTTCTAAGAGTTTCAGGCTTTATATTGAGGTCCTTGAATCATTTGGAGTTGACTTTTGTGCAAGGTGAAAGATAGGGCTTTAGTTTCATTCTACAGGTGGAGATCCAGTTTTGTCAGCACAATTTGCTGAACGTGCTGTCTTTCCTCCATTGTAAGTTTTGGCCCCTTTGTCAAATATCAGGTGACTGAAATTGCATCTACTCATATTTGGGTTTTCAGTTTTGTTCCCTTGATCTATGGGTCTATTTTGTGCCAGTACCATGCTGTTTTTATGACTATAACTCTGTAGTGCAGTTTGAGATCTGGTATAGTAATCCCCCAAGTTTGCTCTTTGTGCTCACGACTGCTTTCTGAGGCTATCCGAGGTCTTTTGTGCTTGGATTTTGATTGGCATTGCTTTGAGACTATAAATGGATTTTGGTAGGATGGTCATTTTCACAATATTAATTTTTCCAATCCATGAGCATGGGAGGTCCTTCTATCTTCTGTCTTCCTCAATCTTTCTTTTATATTTTATTATTTTAATTTTATGTGTATGAGTGTATTGCCTGCATGTATGTGAGTGCACCCGTGTTGTGCACTGCCGCAGAGGTCAGAAGAGGGCTTCAGATTCCCTTGGAACTGGAGTTAAGGCTGTTCATAGCCACCATGTGGGAGCTGGGAACCGAACCCAGGTCCTCTGCAAGAGCAGTCAGTACTCGTAACCACTGAGCCAACTCTCCAGACCCTCAACCTCTTTCTTTAAAGATTTAAAATGTTCATTTTAGAGGTCTTTAATGTCTTTGGTCAGGTTTATTCTGAGATTTTTTTTTTTTTATTTTCACCTATGGTGAAAGGGAGTGTTTCCATGTACCCTTTCTCTGATTGCTTGTTATTGGCATTTACAAAGGCTACAGACTTTGGTATATTAATTTTATAACCTGTTAT